GAACTACATTCATCTCTCCCCACCCCCACTCTGTTAGGGAGCACATTCATCTTTCCCTACCCAACTCTGTTAGGGACTACATTCATCTCTCCCCACCCCTACCCTGTTAGGGACTACATTCATCTCTCCCTATCCCACCATCTTACACTTCCTGCAGAAAAAAATGCAATACCTTCTACCCTCCTCCTTGTTTAAATCTACAAGCTCCCTTTACTGTCCTAATGTCCCAGTGTTCAAAATCTTACGGTAACTCTTCAAATTCGTTAAAATCTTTCTTTTCTGACCTTTACTTAACGATTTTTGACCTCAGCTTAAGAGTCAATGGCCTATTGACTTGTAGACCATGAGGACGAAAGGACTAATTATGTTAGTATAAACCTACATATTAGATCAAATATATGAATACAAAGAATATTTGAATTAGATTTTTCCGTTGTTTTGTTTTTCAATACCCCTACTTTTTGTTACTATGGTGATCATCACTAATAGACCACTGGTAGCTCAGCCAATCAGAGCGCAGGACTTTTGATAGAACATTAGTAGATTTATACTAAAATGGAATCTCTTAGCCTCTAGTGCCAACTGAAAATTTTTTCAGAGCGCAGGACTTTTGATAGACCATTAGTAGGTTTATACTAAATTGGGCTCCCTGTGCTAACGCTTACTGAATATTTTTCTTAGGCTTCCCAAGATTCCAGCCCACCAATCAAAGCCAACAGATGTGACAGATGTAGCCAGTCAGTAGACATCCTCCAGCGAGTGGCTGTAGAGAACCATGTGTTTCACAAGAGCTGTTTTATCTGTGCCATCTGCAGCTCGTGGTTGAATCACTTCAACTATTGCTTCGTCCCTGACCATGATAAGTTTTATTGTATTCAACACTACCAGGATATTGAAAGTGCCTCGGCGGGACTTGATGATCAGATACGGCATGCTTTGGGTATTGGTCCTGGAGTACAACAACAGTTTAACTATGTACCAGGTGAGCTTGATACACAGACGGACAGACGGACGGACGGACGGACGGACGGACGGACGGACGGACGGACGGACGGACGGACGGACAGACGGACAAACAGACTAACGGACAAACAGAGTAGGTCCATCTTTCCCATGGCAAATGTTTATCTTAAGAAAATATCTTTTTTACAGATTCTGTGGATAGTAAGCCAAAGGCAGGTGGAGACAAAGCTTCCAGCAAAGCTCAAAACACTTTGAATGTCATGAAAGAAAAGATTTCCCTTCTTAGCAAGCGAGGGAGAAAGCTCGAGAAGAAAAGTAAAAAACTACGAAAACAAATAGATGGATTCAAAGGGAATGAAATGGAGAAAGGAAAGCTGTGGGAAGAATGGTTTGAGAATGAACGTGAGAAGTATACCACTTTCAGAAGGGAGGCAGAATTAACTTTTAAGTGAGTCAAGAATTTCAATTTCATTCGAATTTTACACGCTTCTGCAAAATCGTTCAAAATATTTAACAAAAGCAATAAAAACGCCTGTCTATATCTCTGTACTGTGATATAAACTAGCTGGGAGCTGTAGAGCACTCGAGAAGCAAGAGACACTCGACTACGCCTCGTGTTTTCCTAGTCTTGCTTCTCTCTCACCCTACAGCTCCCAGCGTGTTTATGTCACAGTACAAAGACATGTGCGCGCGTTTTATATTCCTTAAATATAGTCAATTCAAAAAATGTTGTCGTCGACCGGCTCAAGCCTACGCGACTGGACCGAAAGGAACTCTGGGTAGCAATCATTGAAGCCGAGTTGACTGCATAATTTTATCTGACTAGTTATGCCTGGTTTACAGCACGAACCTTCGTATGCGAGCGGGAAGTGTCGAAGGAGACGTTTTTTTAATGCCTTCATATTTTCGAAATTGTGAACTGAATCATAACTACTTTGTTTTTCTTTCCCTAAACCCAAAGACATGCATTTGATGGATTGTTTCTCGCCATTATTATCTTTATTCCTAGCGGGAACAATTAATTCAGAACGAATATTTAACCGCTTCAGTGATTTTTACCCATATTCCTTTCGGTCCAGTCGCGTAGGCTTGAGCCGGTCGACGACAACGTTTTTTGAATTGACTGTATACACCTACTTGCAAGAACGTTGACATACAAGAATAGAACATTATTAATTTAGTGAGAAAGGAATACATTAAAAGACAAAAGAAAAAGTTCAGCTTCAGTGATCTTCTTTTGTTTTTTAATATAATTCCTATCCCACTAAATCACTAATGTTCTATTTTCGTATGACAACGTTATTGCAAGTAGGTGTATATATTATTGTTCTTAGGGTGCGAGAGACAGAGTTGTCAGAGAAGTATCACGATCTGGAGAAGAAGCTACGTTCTATCACTGAAAAAACAGGTATTAAAAACAAGTTGTATAAAGTGGTTCAAAACAGGTAAAACAAGTTTTATAACATGGTTCAACCAGTTGCTGACAGTGGATATGTTTTTTCTACCCTATATGTTTTTTCCCCTTTACCTTGGGCGTAATCTTTTCCCATTTCGACCATGTCATTCCCTAGAGTATCATTTCTTTGTTTAACGGTTGCGCATGAGAAGATACATGAATATGGATACAATTCAAACAAAGAATCTTATTCTCAAGAGAATGACACGTGGTCTGAAATGGGTAAACATTACGCCCAAGATAAAGAGGTCTTTAAAGCAGTTCACCGTTTCCCCATTGAGACCGTGTGTTGCTCTTAAGTAACATTTCTTTGTTTAACGGTTGCGCACGTGAATATGGATACGAGTCTATTCTCAAGAGAATGACACGTGGTCTGAAATGGGGGAACATTGCGCCCAAGATAAAGAGGTCTATTATTTTACTTTRCACCGACAGAGAACAGCAAGACCGAGTATGATAAATCCAACGAGAAAGAACTGTTGCAGGAAATGCTTGTCGTGGTCGAAAAGAGAGAGCACTTGATCTCAGAAATGGAAGCAGCTCAACACAAGTAAGTGAAAAGTAAAATATAAGGGAGGGTCCAGGATTTTGAGGGAGGGGGGTGGGGTCCAAAGCCTACACTCAATAAGTGACGTCATTTTTGACGTCATACATACATTATACCCGTTGTAACGCATTCACATGTGTTGCTACTGGTGTCAAAGACATTAGAGTCATGACTTTCAAAAGAAAACATTTATGATATCATAGTGTAAAGATCCCAGAGGTTAATATCAAGGTTCTATCTGTAAGTTAGCCGTGCACTGATTTAGATCAGCCCAGAGGTTGTTTCAGGGTTCAATCTGTGAGTTAGCCATGCCCTGACTTAGATCAGCCCAGAGGTTGTTTCAGGGTTCTATCTG